GGAAACCACAATCTGCTCGCTCTAAATCGATTGATTGAACGGAATACGCGTAAACACGCGTATTCCATTCAATTAATCGATTCTAAATAAAATAATTTTTGTTCAAGTATTTGTTGATTACAAGTAGTCGTAATATTAATATAGTAGAAAAATAGTAGAATAAGAAAGTTAAGTCCTTTATTTTAATTGTTTCTAAAAAATGTTCATTACTTAAAACAATTAAGACTAATTTTTAATCGTCTTCAAATATTGCGATTTGTTTATTATTTCTCGGATTTCTAACTCGGCTACTCTGCGTAATTGAATAGCATCTTAAGTGGGATAAACTAGACCACCTTCGTTCTCGAAAGCAACGACCTCACACATATGACCAACTCCAGGTTTTTATAAAGAGAGCGCACTATCAATTCTTTGCATTATATATTTCTTTGTATTACTCGTACTACATATCCCGCGATGTATGTAATTATTGCTCACTATATTCGGACATTCGAGGCAACGTGCTGCAAAAATTATCGAAATTACAAATACTGCTGATAATAGATATTACAAAACTGAAAAAAAAAAAAAAACGAAACTTTACTAAACGTTAATATTGTTAAGGTCATAATAATTTTCGTACCTTTGTTTTCAAAATCGATTAGAATCGAGATGTTGCCTAACGTATACATCAACTAATTGTTAAATTTGGCCAAAGAAATTAATGTACAAGCGGCCGTACCACGAAACTGAATGCATTATACAAAAGCGCGTTCGTTCGATATTCATGGCGTATTAACAAAGGATCACAAATATATCGCACCAAGTAAAAGTCGCAATGTATTACAAATCATGAGGCATACACTCGGTTCCATATTTGTTTTCTCGAAATTCATACAAAACCAAAATAATTGTTTTTAAAATAAATTATGCATCTTCTCACTTGACCGTGGAAGGAACGTCCCTTTTTACCCGTTTACCCACAGTTATGGTGCTTTTGCAGTTTATAATGGCACAATTATGCATTTTTCGCGTTTTCAACTGGTGTTTATCTGCGACAACGGTCGAGCGCATTCTGAAGTGTAGCAACGGCAACTAAGTGAATTTCACTTACTTTGGGCACGCGAAGCCGGCTAATATCGAAATATATGTCTGTG